GATCCATAATTCATTAATACAATATTTAAAGGGTTACATATTCAAATGTGTACTCGGATAATTCTTAGTCGCACTTACAGAATCGTGTTTCGTTTCAGTATGAATTTTGAAAGAATTAGTGTTTCTCTTTTAGTTATCATATAAATTTGATGTGATTAGGATTCTGTAAATCTAACTAAAAAGGTTTGTTTCGGAATTAATAATACATCGCGTTGTATTGTAATTTACTTTAGGAGGAAGTGGGTTAACATTTTTAGTCCTTATATCTTGTGCTTGATTATATTAATATTTGTCTTACTTATTATTTATAGTTTGGCGTTATTGTAATAAGTGTTTGATAAGTACTCCTGTAAAGGAATATCTGGTTAGTTCCGCTAGTTTCATGCCGTCTCTGGGGTCCCTAGATGGTGCCTGATTGGTCGCGTGGTTAGGACTAGATAGAGATGTTTGGTTCCTAGGTAGAGGACCCCAGATCTGGCGATTTTATCTATTAATACTAAAATAGTCAGATTAGAGCGATTAGTAAAGTATAATGATTGTTAATAATCTTATTTCTACGAGAATATGAATAGTGCGCAATAGTTATATTGAAAAATAAAAATTTTAAAATAAACGGGACGTCACAAAGGCTTAGGGTGCGATTACATAGACGCGCGGAAACGCGGAAACGCGGAAACGCGGAAGAGAAAGTAACTAAACTTTACTAGAGTCCCGCATTTCCGCACGTTCCGTTCCGTTTGTTTTGATTGACTTATATTACATGGACACAGATTAATAGACAGATCGCCAAAGGTCTGGATGAAGGAGAGACCAGCATTTCTCACTGATTTCAGCGCCATATCGTAGTAGTAGTCAATGCAGTAACTATTAATACGTTCCCAAGATAAGAGCGTCTCATGCTCATGAACTCGTCCGGCGGCATGTACGAGATTTATCTTTTCGTAGCGTTCGCGTATTTCGGAAAGGACAGAATTTTATGATGTTATAAATAAATAAATAAATAAAATATTAACCTGACCTATTATAATTATTTTTTAATAAATGTTTCATTATTATTATCATCTAAGTCTAAGTCGTTTAATTAATTTTTAGTTTTTTAATAATTAATTTAATTTATTCTAATCATTTTAATATGTGAAAAATACTAATACGTATACGTTTTATAATGAATTAATATATTTCGAGAGTCGAATTATATATTTTTAATAATATAAAAGTGTTCAAAAATTATATTTGACTTTTAATTTTAATTATTTTAGCAAAGAGTTCCGAAATCTCTTACACACATAATAGAGATTTTGTTCATCCATATAATTCGCAATTAAGTATATATGTTAATTATTAATTTTAATAAAATACAAAATTAAAATTAAAGGTCAAATATAATTTTTGAACATAAATATATTTAATTCGTTATAAAACGTATACCCGTGATAGTATTTTTCTCGTACAAAAATAACTAGAACAAATTAAATTACTCATAAAAAAATTAAAAAATAATTAAATAATTTATATTATATATGATAATAATAAAACATTTTATAAAAAAAACAGATTCAATAAATATAAGTATATATATAACATGTACTTATATTTATTGAATCTGTTTTTTAATAAAATGTTTTATAAGCTTAGAAAACTTGACTTTGACGTAACTAGCAAATTTTATTTAATTATTTCACGACGGTTTGACGTAATAAAATGTTTTATTATTATTATATAAAATATAAGTTTAAATTCTTTAATTAATTTTTAATCTTTTATGATTAATTTAATTTACTCTAATTATTTTTGTACGAGAAAAATACTATCATGGGTATACGTTTTATAATTAATTTAATATATTTGTGTTTAAAAATTATATTTGACCTTTAATTTTAATTTTTATTTTATTAAAATTAATAATTAACATATATACTTAATTGCGAATTATATGGATGAAAAAAATCCCCATTATGTGTGTAAGAGATTTCGGAACTCTTTGCTATAAAATAATTAAAATTAAAAGTCAAATATAATTTTTGAACACTTTTATATTATTAAGAATATATAATTCGGTTCCCGAAATATATTAATTCATTATAAAACGTATACGTGATATTATTTTTCTCATATAAAAATGACTAGAATAAATTAAATTAATTATTAAAAAACTAAAAAGTAATTAAACGACTTAGACTTAGATGATAATAATAATGAAACATTTTATTAAAAAAAGATTCAATAACTAGTAGGTCAGGTTATAATTTTTTATTTATTTATTTATAACATTATGAGCTATTAAGCTCATCATCTCGTTCGCTCTCTGTCTTGCTTTCATTCGGCAAGTCACAAACGATATATGATACTCGTATGTTCCTACTTCAACTCTCGAGAATCTGAAACAAACGAAACTCGTGTCCAATATACAGGGTGTCCGGTAACTAACAGACCAATGATTACAAATGGATTCTTTGGTCAATTTGGGAACGATTTTTCCTCAGCGAAAATGTCGAAAAAGGTCATCATTTTTTACAACTTTCCAATCTTTGTCATTATGTATCTTTATAACTAAGCCTTAAATTAAAATTTTATTATAGTAAACTCTACCTGAAATTAACTGAAGAATGTAATTATGTTAGACTTTTAACTCCAAAACGTTTAGTTTTCAAAAAACCTATTTTTTTCAATCGCTTATAACTCGAAAATTATTGACTTCTCAACATTTTTGCTAAGGAAAAATCGTCTCCAAATTGGCCAGAGAATCCGCCCTTAATCATTGGTCCGTTAGTTACCGGACACCTTGTATATATTATATAAAAGTGTATAGCACGTCAGAAGCTTGTGAGCTTACAGCGATAAGTAAAAACAATTGCGTATTTATTTCATTGCGTTTATCTGTTTAAACGCGCGCTTTAATTTTTCCAACGTTTTTGCCTGTTTATATTTTAAAGGTCCTCTCTTCTAAAAATCTTGTTTTAAAGATCCTCTCCGCGAGCAAAATTCGAAAACAAATTATTTAATATTTTTACTTTATTATTTGTAAATCCTCGGTAATTTCAAAATTTTTCTATTTGAAAATTATTAATTTTCTATTGCCAATTAATTTTATCACAGACTTTACTCTTACTCCCATTGCACTTTCGTTTGCGGTTTTCAGTATACGATTTTTTATCGTAGTTACTGAAAATTATTATTGTGAATTATACTTGTGCAGTGATTTGAAGAATTTACAATTTCGTTGAAATTGTTGATTTTTCAAAAAAATTACGAGATTCGCGGAAATTGCGTGCTTTCTTGGCATTTTCCGTTCGCGGCAGGCGGTTTATTTTTGATTGTTGCAAGTGTTTTTGTTTTTTTTTATTAAAATAGATAATAATAATGTGAAATAAATCACGATATTTGACAGATGTGCATATATATAGAAATTGTAATAATAATAATATTATATCATAAAATTGTAAATTGTTTCAATTTTTTATAGACTGCGATAAAAGATTTTACATTTGGATAAGAAACTGCGGTAAGTAAAAATATAAAATTCTTGAAAACGTAAAAATATTTGATAACGTAAAAAGGTGAACTTTGAAAAATAAGGAACTTAAAAATTGCACTAATAAATGGGCTATATATATGTGAGCCGTGCGCGGATGTAAGGTGTGTTATATCGAAATTTAATTAATAGAATTGAGAATTAATCCCAATTTTAAGTCTTACAAATGTCCAAGCTAATTTTTTGTACCTCGTGTACATTTTTGAAAGTTATATCGAAAAATTAAATTTCAATATGCGTCTTACATCTCACATTTCGCATACGGCTCACATATAGCCTATTTATCTCTTATACTTTATTTCAACCCTTATAGAAATTTATTACTAGTAACGCCAATTTATCACTTATTTCGAGTAATTAATCACTTTTATTTCGAATACTTAAATTACTGTATATTATAGTATTTTAAATACTCAAAATAAGTGATTAATTGGCGTAGTGATAAATTTCTACAAGAGAATAAGGAGCCTTTAAATTCTTAATGTAAAAAATTTCAAGTAATTTTCTTTAATAAAATTTAATTAAAAAATTTAATTAAAAAATTTTTGAACACTGTGTTATATCACATTTAAAATCGTGATTATTTCAATAAAAAAACATTTTATGTGTAAAAAATATATTTTTATATTTAATAAATTTTATATATATATGCATATATGTAAAATATTCTCTCTCTCTCTCTCTCTCTCTCTCTCACACACACACACACACACACACACACAACGGGGGCCAAATCTCTCAAATTGGTCTCATGATCAATTAGCCTGGATTCGCACCAGGGGCAAAGTCTGTTGGTAATGTCAAACGAATTTAGCCTGGACTTGCACCAGGGGCAAAGTCTTTTGGTCGAGTCTACGAAATTTAGCACGGACTCGAACCAGGGGCAAAGTCTTTTGGTTCAAGTCTACGAATTTAGCACGGACTCGAACCAGGGGCAAAGTGTGTCGGTAAGGGGCAAAGTCTATCGCACGAAGATGGCGGTCTCTTCTTTAGGCAGGCCTTTGGCGATCTGTCTATTAATCTGTGACATGGAGCACATTTTGAGCGGAAAAGCGGAACGGTATAGTGACAAATAGACATTTGTATTAATTTTTTAAATTTATATTTACTTAATTCATTGTAATTCCTTTTAATATGTTCATCTTTTCAACTTATCTATTGAATACAAGCATTTTAATCAATAAATATAGTTAAATATTAATATTTTATAATTCCCCGTTCCGCTTTTCCGCTCAAAATGTGCTCCATGTAATATAAGGCAATCAAAACAGACGGAACGGAACGCGCGGAAATACGGGACTCTAGTAAAGTTTAGTTACTTTCTCTTCCGCGTTTCCGCGTTTCCGCGTTTCCGCGCGTCCATGTAATCGCACCCTTAAGGTACCATTTCATGCGCAGCATACTGCCGCAGCAGTTCGCTGCTATTGGTTGAAAAATTGTTACTAGATGCTGCAAAATAAATTTTACCATATTTTGCTTCATCGCTGTGAAGTTCAATTGAATGAACAGCAAAGCAGCAAGACAAAAAGACACGCTATCATCATCAATAAAAAATGGCATTGAGTGAGGTATGTATATTTATTATATTATACTTATTTTTATTAGTAATATATGTATAATATATATATTATCTTGAAATGAGAACAAAGATCCCAGGAATATATTACAGTTAAAATAATATCATTTTGATCATATTGCTTTTGGTAATGATGTTGATATGTATCAGCTATTTCATGATACAAAAGTTGCACAGTAATGCATAACATTGTTAAAAGCTACAAAATAGGCACTTCAATTTCGACTGGGATAATAATATTAACAAGTTCTATTGACTATTTATTAATTGTTTTTTATAAATTTTAGATTCAACTTGTTAACACTTGCGGAATTTGCGAAGAAATTGTAGATAAACCTGAAATTCGCAAACATAAATGTTTAGCAGGATTCAAAAAATTCTACGTGGATAAAAATCGATATTTTTATCCAGTATGTGGTAAGTACAAATGAAAATAATGTAAATTTATAAAGAACTTATAGATAAATTTAATTTAGGGGGCCTATTCTGTAACCTTTAATGATGTTATGTATCATTGCACAGCTATTTTGATACAAAAAAACTGTGCAGTGATGTATTATATTGTTAAAAGTTACAAAAAAGGTCCCTAAGTGTATAACATTTAACATAATTGTAATATTTTAAATAATTCTTTATAATAGAGGATAACACAATAATACGACGAAGTGCAATGAATAATGGTGAAGAAAACATTGTAATAGATGAAACACCTATTGTCAGTAACAAAGAATCGGAGACGTTTAATGATTTTTCTGATTCCATGGATATAGATGAATTATTTATCGAAGAAGTTTCTAAACACGAAGTATTATATAATTACAGTATTCCTCTTCAACAACGTAATAGAGCAATAATAAATGAAACGTGGATAGAAGTTTCAAAGGCTTTGGGAGGTATGAAAGTCTTAATATTAATCCAACACACAAGCACACACACACACACACACACGCGCGCGCGCGCGCACACACACACACACATTATTTAACAAAAATAACTAATTTTGTTTACTTATGTTTTACTTTATAGGGCGTTTAGATCCAAAACAAGCTGCTAAAAAATGGAAGATACTACGAGATAGCTATTCTCGTGAGTTGGCTAAAGAAAAATTACCAAGTGGGGCAGAACGACCTACTTTGAAGCGAAAATGGAAACATTTTGATCGAATGGATTTTTGCGCGACACCATTTATAGAAAGAAGTAAATATTATATTATTTGAAAGTATTTGCTATTGTGCTATTATATTTAGTTGTTTATTATATATTCAAATTATTATAAAAATTGAAAATATTGTACAATTACAGTACAAGTGATAATCTTCCTGGAAATGAGGAAAACAGCGAAAACAATGAAAATATACCACCAATTCCAAAGAAAGGACGAATGTGTAAGTATTTTTTGGTTTTTAAAATATATTTATGTATCAAATTGCTTAAACAAGTATATTATTTTGTAATAAAAGCAATCATACCGATGGACGATACAGCATCAACTGCACTCAACAAAATTGCAGATGCAATTACTACAATCAGCGCAATTCCCGAACCTGTGCAATTGCCTATGTTACCACTTCCTGACAAACAGGATGACGTCGATGGATTGATGCTTATAATATCTGTTCAATTACGAAAACTGCCGGAACGAAAAAGGAGAACTTTAATATTTGAAATATTATCATTCGTGAATGATAAAATTAATAATATTTTGTTTTAATAACTTTTATGTATGCAAAACTGTAAATTTTTACAGTAAACGTTTTATTTTGTTTTTATTATTAAGTTCAAAAGATTTATATATATATATATATATGTATATATAGTTAAAGTATAAAATATTAAAGTTTAAAATATAAAAGTGTTATATAGTTAAAAAGTTTAAAATATTTAGTTTATAAAATTTTGATTTTTAGTTGAACTAATTAAACATTTTTAGTTAAAAAATGAAAATTTTTAGTTATGAAATATAAAAATATTAAGTTCAACTTTGACCAATTATATTTTATATTATTATTATTGACTGGTTTTTATAAAGTGCATATGCGCGCATTTACTTTAAGCATTTAGTACACTTAATGTTTCCTATAGAAAATGCATGCATAAGCCTTTTATGGAATCCAGCCATTAAATATTAATTATTAAATATAACTTTTTACAGTTTATAATTTTATAAATACATACCATTGTGTATATACGCAATTAAAGACTGAATGTAATTATATGATGTTCCTTATAAATTAATTAAAATAAATGAGTTTTTAATTCTGTTTTTATTTCAAAAATAATAGTTTTATTTATAGAAAATCCTATTGCTATTTTATTGTTATTTCTTACTGATAAATTTGTACAAATTGCCATGGAATGGCCCCTTCTTCATTAAAATATTCAGTAAATTTGTTTCGAATTTTTGCAGCTTCCCTTGAATATGTATGAGTACAACAAGTAGCAATATTTTGTAACGCTGTATTATTACTTTCAATCATACTTCTCCATGTACCAGGTATAATTGAGCCATCATTTCTTTCTCTATCAACCATGTCTGGAGTTATAAATATTTCTCTTGTTAGATCTTGTTTGCGAAGCCAATTATGTAACACTACTGTTGCTTTTACCATTTTTTCAGTAGTATCTACTTTAGCAATTGTACATTTTCTATAAATTCGCCATTGAGCCGCCAATATGCCAAATGTATTCTCGATCATTCTTCTTGCACGAGATAGTCGATAATTGAAGACTTTCTTTTCCGGTGATAATCCTTCTCGACCAGGATATGGTCGCATTAAATACGAACTTAATGGAAAGGCTTCATCTCCAACTATTACGTACGGATAATTAGTACTTCCTTCATAAATTTCATCCGGAGGTGGAATATGCATTTTTCCTTGTGCAAATAATTGACCCATTCGAGAATGCTTGAAAATACCACCATCGCTTTGACGTCCAAAAGCTCCAATATCAACCAAAGTAAAGAGATAATTAGCATCACACATTGCTAATAACACAATGCTGTGAGTTTTTTATAATTATAATACATTGAACCGGAATGTTCAGGACTCTAGACAATATAAACAAAAATATTTTAGTAAAGTCCTAAAGCAATATAGGCAGTGTACTTGCATGGCATCATCATACTTCATACCTGTATGACAACATGCTTTCCATCTAAAGCTCCAATGCAATGTGGAAAATGCCATTTTTCATTGAAATCATGGGCAATTGCTCTCCAGTTTGCTTCATTACATGGCACCAATACAAGTGGTGATAATACTTCCCATAAGATTTGACATGTTTCGGCAATAATTTGGGATACTGCTGTCAAACTGACAAGATAATGATACGACATCGATGTCATACTATCTCCACTCGCTAAATATCTATAATAAAACATAAAATGTTTAGATGTAATACATAAATGTTTAGAAATATGAGTTAAGATTTAATTTTATTTTTTATAAAATTCAACCTCAAACATATTGATAATCGTTGTTTCGCTTCTATTGGTTCACGAATGACATGCTGTCGAGTAATTTTTGGACCTACTAATTGCAATAATTCTTCAAATTGAGTAGTATCCATTCGAAAATAATTTCGAAAACGCAAGTCTTCCAACTTTAATATAGGTAAAGTTGTATAATAAAATCCATTACGGCGACGTTGTTGAAACAATTCAGTCACCCAAATCCGTTTTTTTTTATATTGCCGCTTCTTTTTCGAAATTTTATTAGCCCAAATTACAATTGCACTAGCTGCTGCTGCAATTGCAACTTTTTGTCTTCACAAAGTTTCAATATTATATTCTTGAATGGTTTTCTCACATTCTTTATGCCACTGATATAATTTTTGATTGTATGACATCTTGCCGGTCAGTGCTGCTGCTGCAGCTATTCCTTTTCATGAGCAGCAAATATGCTCTAGTGACTTTTAATCACATGACAGATTTGCTGCTGCTGTATGCTGCGTATGAAAAGGCACCTTTACAATTAGAGCTTACTACATCTATTGTAGACCCGGCCTAACTGTCCGTTCACTTGTCCAGATGGAAAGGCGCCACAGTCCGCCACATTTACTACAACTATACCGATTGTAGATCCGGCCTTACATATGCTAAACCGACATACTTTTGCGGTTAGCTTTGCGATCTTTTAATGTTTTGTAAGCCAATTTGTTCCAAAGAGGCTTTCTGATTTACATATAATAAAGAAAATAAACAAATTGTTGATTTTTTTAAATTGAAAAGTAAAAAAAAATGGTTAATGCGAAAGACGATCAGACAAATACGGATGTGATTGCGGAAAATGGTACTCAGAAAACGGCGAAGCAATTGCAAAAGGAAGCTAAAAAATTAGCAAAATTGGAAAAATTTAAACAAAAACAGGAGAAAAAGGAAACTGAGATAAAACCAGTAAAGGTGAAAGAAAAGCAAAATGTAAGTATATGCTTTAATGTATATTGAATTTTCTAGTTCTAATAATACAGAAAATTTATATACAGATATATAAATTGATATCTTTTAATTATCCATATGGATATCTTAACTATTCTCTCTCATTAGATTTCTTTTGTAAATTTGATTTAATTGCATTAATAGTCATGTTTCATATCTCTTTAATCATTTAGTTATATTATAATTTATAATTAATGTTTTAGGACAGCATTTTAGAACATAGGTACACATTGTTTTAAGCAAAAAAGTGTATAAACTTGTTATATGTATAATGTGTTCTATTTTGAATTTTAAGGACAAATAGATTTAATTACCTTTTTTAGAACTAAATATTATGAAACAGTTATATTAAATTTTTATTGTTTCATGTTACTATGGTTACAAATGTAAATATTAGATTACATTTTATAAGTTTTGTAGTTAGTTTGAAATTTGTTCTGGTGTAATTAAATTGCCTCATTTGCTTTAGTCAAAATTATTATTAATTATTTAAATTTATCATAAGCCTAAAATTTAATGTAGTTGTTTCATAAAATTTCTATTAAGTTAATAAATATATTCATTCTTAAGATTGAACATGTATCTTTATAATCTTCATAAGTTATCTTTAAGTTTAGAATAAGATATATGAGTGTGTGTGTGTGTATGTGTGGGGTTTATATGTATAAACTATTTTGCTTAAAATTTGTACAATCATGTCCTAGAATGCTGACTATTCCTCCTGAAGCACTTTGTATATAGCATGGAAAACAAGTGTATATTAGTAGGTATAGTATCTAACTTATTTATTAATCTATGTATTTATTAATTTAACATGTTTTAGAAAAATGATAAGAAAGATAAGACTACATCAGTTTATACTGATATATCACCTGGGGAGAAAAAAGATGTTTCATGTCCAATGCCAGATACATATAGCCCGCAATATGTAGAAGCCGCATGGTATGCTTGGTGGGAAAAACAAGGTTTTTTTAAACCAGAATACGGAGTATGTAAATATAAAAGATTAAAAAAAAAACAGATATTTAGGTTTATATGTATATATATATATATATATATATATATATATATATATATATATATATATATATATATATATATATATATATATAGTCTCTAAACTGGCAATAAAGATTTTAATGACAACTTTTTGTAACATTTTAAGATGAAAATTCTAATATGAAAATATCGAGATTTTAATATTTTTCAAATAGGAGAAGTTTGAAGATTATGAATGATGAGGCTAGTTATTGTACTTGATAAGAATCACAATCTAGACGTTTAAACAACTCAGGAATAGCAAAATGGCCAGTGGTAAAAGTGCTCCGATGAATCAAATGTCTTTTTGTTGTTTTTTTTTTTTTTTAAGTGAAACTTGATTATTTTTATAATTTTATTATTGTCAATGGCATTCGATTCATAGATGTACCTTTACCATTGACCATATTGCTTTTCATTTAACAAAACAAGTCGACACAAGCATCAATCTATCTTTATTTTTATAGAATGTAGAACAAAAATAGAATGACGCTTGTGTCGACTTGTGTTGCTAAATAAAAAGCACCCTTTGCTATTCTTAAGCATGTGAAATTCTAGCCTTGTCATTCATAATTTTTGAACTATTCCTATTTGAAAAATACAATAGTTTCAACATGTTTGTATTTAGATTTTCATCTTAAAATATTACAAAGAAATCTTTATTACTAGTTTAAGGACACTGTATACATATTAAAACGTTTATTTATTAAAATATCTATCTATTTTAGAGAAAAGATATATTTGATGGAAATGTGAAAGAAAAATTTGTAATGATAATACCACCACCTAATGTAACTGGTTTTTTACATCTTGGACATGCTTTGACTAATGCTGTGGAAGATGCTATTACTAGATGGTAGATATAAGTTTAGGATATAATTTTGTTCAAAAATTTTTTTAAGTAGAATATTTTTAAATCACTGCATTTTTTAAATTTAGGAATCGTATGAAAGGTCGTGTAACACTTTGGAATCCAGGTTGTGATCACGCGGGTATTGCTACTCAAGTGGTTGTAGAGAAAAAGCTCTGGAAAGAAGAGAAGAAATCTCGTCATGATATTGGTAGAGAAGAATTTATCAAGAGAATATGGCAATGGAAGCATGAGTAAGTATTAAATTGTAAAACAAAATATTTATACAATCTTTGTAGAATTCAAAAAATCTAATTTAATATAATGAAATCTAATTATATTTATATTTATTTGTAATATTTTTAGAAAGGGTGATAGAATTTATTCACAATTAAGGAAGATAGGTGGTTCCTTTGATTGGAGTCGTGCATGTTTTACCATGGATCCAAAATTATGCAAAGCTGTAACAGAGGCTTTTGTGCGCTTGCATGATGAAGGCATTATTTATCGTAGCAATCGCTTAGTTAATTGGTCATGCGCTTTAAAGAGTGCAATATCAGATATTGAAGTAAGTATACTATATACATATTTTTAACAAATTTATTTTTCTATTTTTTTTTATTTTATATTTAAAGATCACTATGGGAATTTTTTAAAATATGTATTAAAAATAGGTTGATAAAATGGAATTAAATGGTCGGACCCTGTTATTGATACCTGGTTATGAAAAGAAAGTGGAATTTGGTGTTTTGATATTTTTTGCTTATCAGCTCTTTGATTTGGAAGACAAAATAATTGTAGCAACTACTCGTATTGAAACTATGTTAGGAGACACTGCTATTGCCGTACATCCAAACGATAGTAGATATGTGCGATACATCGGAAAATATGTGCAACATCCGTTTTGTGATAGACGCATACCAATTATAGCAGATGAATTTGTTGACGTAAATTTTGGCACTGGTAAGTATATGTAGTTTAATAAGTTAAATGAAAATGGTGAAAGTAGAGTGATTATATAAAAGTAGATTCCATTTAATCGGATTATTCTTTAGGTGCTGTAAAGATTACGCCGGCTCATGATCCAAATGATTATGAAGTAGGGAAAAGACACAATTTACCATTCATAAATATTTTCGATGATGATGGAAATATTTCTGGAAACTATGAAAAATTTATGGTATCATATTTTACTTCTATACACACAAGCACACACACACACACACACAATTTATATGTATATATACAGGGTAGTTCAAAAGTCCGGCAACGGCCAATTATCTCCAAAAATAGTGGTTTTATAAAAAAAATGTTAAATACAAAAGTTGTAGAACTCAAAATTAGGCATTTGAAGGTTAAATCCAATTTTTTAAATAGAAACCCCTATTTTTTATTGCATATTCTGGTAGCTTATCTCAAGAGCTTTGCAAAACACTATAATAAAACATTTTTTCATGAAGTACTTTATGAATTATAAAGGTTTGAAGTTAACAATTTTTTGACATAAAATGTAAAATTTCTTGTGAAATATTCAGTTTTTTGTAATCATACCTTAATACTTTGATGCACGGAGTAATAAGACTAATTAACTGGTGTAAAGAAAACACATAGTTGCTTTAAGGGGATTCTAAACGGTTGGCCGAACTCTGACAGAAGTATTTTTATCAGCTCTCAATATTAATAATAATATAAATATGATATTTTAAATCGGCCAATAGAGCCCAAGCGCGAAAAATTAATTCTTTGGAACTGTATCTCTTGGTTTGAGATCACTAAGTTCCATATATAAATTAATCTCGAACTTACATATGGAGAAATAGGCGAGAAAAATATAGGTCTGAAAAGTCGCTGAAGATCCGGGTAAGAGCAATCGCCCGGAAAGTGAAAGACGCGGGTTCGATTCCCGCTTCAGCGACTTTTTGGACCTATATTTTTCTCGCCTATTTCTCCATATGTAAGTTCGAGATTAATTTATATATGGAACTTAATGATCTCAAACCAAAAGATACAGTTCCGAAGAATTAATTTTTCGTGCTTGGGTTCTATTGGCCGATTTAAAATATCATATTTATATTATTATTAATAGAAAAATGTCTTATTATAGTGTTTTGGAAAGCTCTCGAGATAAGCTACAAGAATATACAATAAAAAATAGGGAGTTCTATTTAAAAAATAAAGTTGACCTTGAAATGATCTCTAAATTTGAAGCCTTAGGTTAAAATCAAAGTTATCATCAAGTGCCTCATTTTGAGCTCTACAACTTTTGTACTTAATATTTTTTATAGGATCACTATTTACGGAGGTAATTGACCGTTGCTGGACTTTTGAACTATTGTATAGATTGCATTTTCTATTATCTCTCGCTCCCCAAATTGAAGTAAAGCAACGAGATAATTTTTCGTAAAAAGATAAGTTAAAAATATCGAATAAAATTTTATATAAAAAACTTTATGGAAAACTTTTTAAAAAATTTTACAATTAATAGTATATTTTAATAACTTGGTAAATAAATCAAAACGACTTGACTAGCATGTAAATTCTTTAAATCCGATGTACAACGTTTCGACCAATCAGATTGTGGTCCTCATCAAGTATAATAACTATTTATTAAAAAACAAAGATCTAAAGATTCCGTGCCAGCCGTTATCCGCTCGAATCTAGGCATGACGTGTTAGAAGGCATGTCCGTATCAGTAAAAAGCGAAAGAACTAGCTTAATATATTTTAATGAATTATTTTAATCAAAATAAGTTAATTATCTAAGGTTCTTAAAATGATAATTAAATAGGGGAAAGAACAGGCAATAAAAATCAATGCAATAATTGATTAACATTCAATTATATATTATAATTCAATTTATTTTGACAATGGCTATCAAAAGATATGTAAAGAGGTGCAATATATTTTCAAAATAAATGGGCTATGTGAACCAAACGCGGATGTTTGTGCGTTGAAAAGCGAAAATTAATTTTTCGCTCTCTTAATTGTGTACGAGGCATGAAATTTAATAATAATTTATACATACCTTTTCAAGTTTAATTTTTTTTTGTGAATAAAATCATACTTTTATAGTTAAAAAATATATTAATACCCATAATCTAGATTAATTTGACTATAACATATAATAAAAAGTGATACAAAGTTAATAATTAATTAAAATAAAGATTAAGCTTAAAAAACTAAATATATTATTAATTTTCAAATTTTTAAAATTAATTTTATAAAAAACAAAGCTCCCATATAAAAAAGTATATATTTTGAACTTATTTTTACAAAAAGTTATTCTTTATTTGCAATTTTGAATCCTGTAGTATACATATAACAGGAACTTTGTTTTGAAATTTTATTAATTATACGAAATAAAATATATATTATAAATAAATAAAGTAAATAAATATATAAATTATAGGGAATGAAAAGATTTGAAGCCAGAGTGGCTATTATTAAAGAGTTGACTGAGAGAAACCTCTTGATTAGTATAAAAGATAATCCAATGATAATACCCATATGCAGCCGATCAAAAGATGTCGTTGAACCTCTTATGAAACCACAATGGTAAATAAATATATTGCTTACTATAAAAGTTAAACTTTTAGAAACATTTAATTTTTTTTCATTTAGGTATGTCAGGTGTAATGAAATGGCTGCTCATGCTAAGGAAGTGGTAAGTACAGGTGCCCTAAAGATAATTCCAGAGCAGTTTAAAAAAACTTGGTATACTTGGATGGATGGTATTCGAGATTGGTGTATTTCGCGTCAGCTTTGGTGGGGTCATCGCATTCCTGCTTATGCAGTTAAATGTATCAATTTTCATGTGGATACAAACGAGGTAATTTTGAAGAAATAATTCCAGGGTGTATACTCTCTAGAAAAATGTAGAATACTCAGAGAATTTTGTTCTACCTTGAAAAATCCTGGAATTATCATGGAATTTGATTTAAACTCAGGGAATTTTTAATAAAATTGCTCCTTTGATTTTAAAATATAGTTTCAAAGAATATAAAATTTATTAGTTTTATATAAAGTATATATTAAAATATATTTTATTATAATATAATACTATATTACATTATATTAAAAAATACTTCGTTTATGTAAAAAATTTATATATAACAATTAAACTTATTTCAAAATTGTAGTCTAAATATTATTTAAAATACGTTAATTTTACCTGGAATTTTGAACAAAAGTACCTGGAAAATCAAGGAATCCTCAAGAAATTTATTTCTAAGAATTGAGTATACACTCTGAATACAAAAATTATGAGAAATAGCTTTAAAATTTGCACATCGTCTTTTAATCATATGTATAATTAATCAGAGATATGATTTCATACAGGCAGATGAATATTGGATAAGTGCGCACTCTGAAGCTGAAGCTAGAGACAAGGCAGCCAAGAAATTAGGTGTTAACATAGATGATATTATTGTGAAACAAGATCCTGATGTATTAGATACTTGGTTCTCTTCTGCTCTTTTTCCGTTCTCTATTTTTGGCTGGCCGGATGAAGTATGTATATCACTTATAGTCTGAATTTTCAATTTCAAGAAACAAAATTATGCACATTGATTTATGAAATTAAAAGTAAATAATAAACATACAGAATGTTCTATTTTAATTAATATAGTAAATATTGTTAAAATTATAGCTGTAATGAAATTTTTTATACAAAAGTTAAAAAGTTTCGAGGACTAAAAAAATTGATAATCTTAAATTTTAATCAAGAGCATTTAAGATTTCAAGGTCATGTAAAGGTCAACTTTATTTTTAAAAATTGCAAATTGCATACTTTTTTTAAATGATTTTTTACACACACACTAATTGATTTTTTTATTATTTTGTAAAAATCTTGAAGTAAAATAATCGGAAAATGAATAGTATTATAATACATTTTATAAAATATTTTATAGTTTATGTTAAAAGATAAAATTGTATTATATTATAACGTTAAAAGATAAAATTGTATCATATTAGTACAAAATATCTTGTAAACTATTTACTTTTTGGTCCTCTTACTCTTGTAACTTTTATGCCAAATATTGCAAAGAATTGATTCACATAAAGAAATTAGTGTGATTCCATTTAAAAAAAAAACAAAAAAACTAGCTTGATTTTTAAATAATTTTAAAAAATGACTGCTTAAAATTCAAGATATATTTAACTTTTTCCCCTTCAAAATCTTTTAACTTTTGTATAAAATATTTTATTCGTTATAATTATATTCAGCAATATTCGGCTATATTTATTAAAATAAGACACACATATATACATAGCTTTAATATATTAGCTAGGATATTTTTTAGACCCCTGAGCTCAAGACATTCTATCCAGGTACATTATTGGAAACTGGCCATGATATACTTTTCTTTTGGGTAGCTAGGATGGTTTTTATGGGTCAAAAACTGTTGGGACAATTACCTTTCAAGTATGTTATAAGTTATAATACATTCTATGTCGCATACTTTTTGTGAAAAAGAGAGAAAGAGTGTGTATGTGTGTAAGTTAAAATATGTGGACTGTGCATATGCAAATAAAATGAAAATATTTTTATAGAGAAGTATATCTACATGCAATGGTGAGAGATGCACATGGAAGAAAAATGAGTAAATCTTTGGGAAATGTAATAGATCCTATGGATGTAATTAAAGGAATATCTTTAGAAGTATGTATGAATAATTTTATTTACATGTTCACACTCTCAGAAATTAATTCGACTGTTCCAATAAATACATGAAATAATACAGTATGATGTAGCATGTTCTTGCTGTAAAACTATCAATATTTTTTGTATTATATATTATAGTATTCTATATGCTATTTTCTATAATATTTTTAATTATCGAAACAATATTTCAGGATCTTCAAAAACAACTGCTGGATTCGAATTTAGATCCAAAAGAATTGGAACGAGCTCGAGAAGGTCAGAGGCGTGATTATCCGCAAGGCATTCCTGAATGTGGTACAGATGCTTTGCGATTCGCTCTCTGTGCTTATACTACTCAAGGAAGAGATATAAATCTCGATATACTCCGTGTACAGGGTTATAGATTTTTCTGCAACAAGATATGGAATGCTACCAAATTTGCACTTAGCTATCTTAGTCCTGAGTTTAAAGATGATGCAAATGATATGGTAAACTTGAATATTTTTGTTAAAAAAATCAGTCACAATCTAATCATAGAAAATCAATATTTAATTGAACTTTTATTTAGAAATACAATAATGCTGCTTGCATTGACATGATTGGTGATGGCAAGTGGTATCAGCAAGCTTTGAATGAATCCTGTGTACAAGAGGCGCTAGATAATTATTTAGAAATTTATTCATATCTTGATGGTTATACACCCTCGCAACTTGACTCGAAAGTTTGCCAAATATTAAAAGAGTTAAATATTAATTTTGCAAATTATTTGCATCTTAAACGTTGGTATAATCATATGGCAACATTACGGATGAAGAAAAAACTAGATTTCGTGTGGAACAAAATAAAATAATACCACAACTTACATATACATGTCAAAAAAATAATGATACGTTTATGGTAACATTTGTTTAATATATAAATAATTAAATAGAAAGAAATATTTATTTTATACAAAAATTTTAACATTTACATATATTTTATTTCTCATAATAGCTGACTGGATATGAGACAAATGTAGATTTATGGATGTTATCACGACTCAGTTATGCTGCCAAGACTTGTGATGAAGCATTAGCACAATATGATTTTGCATTAGCTACTTCTACATGTTACAATTTATGGTTATATGACTTGTGCGATATTTATTTGGTTAGTAACATTTTTTTAATATTGACTTATGCATAATAAAATAGATATTTTATATACACAATTAAAAAAACTAACACATTTTTAGGAATATCTTAAACCTATATTTCAAAGTGAGAATAAAATCGAAAAGTTGACGGCACAAAAAGTATTATTTAAAACATTAGATGTAGGATTACGTTTATTGAGTCCATTTATGCCATTTATAACAGAAGAACTCTACCAACGTTTACCTCATAAAATACAAAAATATCCAAGCATATGCGTAAGCCCATATCCAGATAGTTCCGAGGTAATTATTTAGATCTTATAATAATTAATTAAAATATTAATTCCAGCCATAACACACATTAGATATATGTATGTTTCAGTGCTGTTGGAAAAATGAGGAGATTGAGAAAAACATTGATTTTGTGCAAAAAATAATCAAGAGTATTAGATCTACCCGCGCAACTTACAATTTACCTAATAAAGTGAAAACTGAAGCATACGTCGTATGTAACAATTCAGTTTTAAAAGCGATGATTTTTCAATACAAATTACTCATAGAAACTCTTGCATATTCTACTCTTAGCATGCAACTCCCTGTAGGAGGATGTGCTATTATCACTATAAGTGATAAAGTTCAAGTGCATCTCTTACTTAAGGTAATTAATATTCTATATATGTTACATTAATTATTATTGTAAATATACATATATGTATATACAGAAAGTATTTTCATTTTAAGTGATACAGTCAATTCTATCTATTTCTAAAAAAGGCATGTTATTTATTTATCGAAGTCTCGAAAGTCTCGAAGTGTATTGTTGCCTTTAATCCACGATGTCGATTGGTTTTATCGTTGCGTTTACTTCGTGAGCCGTTGTTATTGCATATTTTGACAGTTGTATATATCGAGGGGTTAGTGTATTGAAAGTTATGAATTATAAAGGATTTTGTGTATATTGTTGCCTTTAATCCGCGATGTCGATTGGTTTTATCGTTGCGTTTACTTCGTGAGCCTTTGTCATTGCATATTTTGACAGTTGTATGTATCGAGGTAGTGTATTGAAAGTTATGAATTATAAAGGATTTTGTGTATAATTGTTATTTATTAATTTTGTTCAGTGGTTTTTCAGTTAATAAAAAAATATAAATTAGATGAATTATATATATACATTAGTAATGGAAATTCGAAAATTAAAATTATGTACATAATAGAAATACGGCGAATTAGAATTATATGTTTATAATGGAAATTCGGCAAATTAAAATTATGTACTTCATGAAAATGAGGAATTTAAATCATGTACATAATAGAAATTTGGCGAATTAAATTATGAGCATATTAAAAATTCAAGAATAAAAATTATGTACACAATAGAAATTCGATGAAACAAAATTATGTACATAATTAAAATTCAAGAATTAAAATTATGTACATAATTTTAATTTGCCGTATTTTTATTATGTAAATAACTGAAATTATATCTAATAGAAATTCGACAAATAAAAATTATGTACATAATAGAAATTTGGGAATTCAAGTTATGTACATAATTTTAATTTTTGAATTTCCATTATATACATAACTTGAATTCCCAAATTTTTATTATGTACATAATTTTTATTTGTCAAATTTCTATAAGGTACAATTTCAGTTATTTACATAATAGAAATACGGCGAATTAAAATTATGTGCATAATAGAAATTCAAGAATTAAAATTATGTATATAATTACAAATTAAAAATTAAAATTTTGTGCATAATAAAAATTTATTGTGCATAATAAGAATTAGAGTTATGTATATAATTGAAATTTGGTTAATTAAAATTATACACTCGCGGAGCAAAATTTGTTTCGCGCGCGAATCGCGCACTTGTATCTTAAAAATGAAACGTCTTTAGAAAAAATGTGACAAAAATTGTAAGGTTTTAAAGGGGAACATAATATTGCGACTTAAAATTGCTTTTGAATATTGTTCAAAATCATTTAGAAATTAACAGTTTTTTTTATAATTGATCTCTCATTATTTTGTGCATAAAAGTATTGAGGTAAAATTACGGAAAAATGAATATTTTACGAGATTTCATAGTTCATATAAAATTATATCACATTAAATTATAAAATATCTTGTAAATTATTCATTTTTTGGTCATTCTATCTTTTTAACTTTTTACGTCAAATATTATGGAAGAAATCAATGTATGTAAAAAAATAGTGGTTTTATTTAAGAAAACTTGATTTCTAAATAAACTCGAAAAACATCATCCTACAACTTTTATATGGAACATTTTTCTCAAAAACGTTTTATTTTTAAAATAATAGACTGTATCACTTAAAATAAAACATCCTGTATATATTATATGTATGTATGTATGTATGTATGTGCATATATATATATATATATATATATATATATATATACACAATATGTACATGCATGTATGTGTATGTATATATATATATATATATATATATATATATGTACATGCATGTATGTGTATGTATATATATATATATATATATATATATATATATATATATATATATATATATATAATATAATGTTAATATAAATATTTATAGGGTTTAATTGATCCAAAGAAAGAATTAGAAAAACTTAAAAAAAGGAAGGACAATTAATTGAACTTATACAGAAATTAAAACAAGATTTAGCTGTACCCAATTATGATACAAAAGTACCACTCGATGTTCAAAAGATTAACAAGGAAAAATTGATAAACAGCGAAGGCGAATTGCAACGAATAATTGATGCAGTAATGGTCTTACAAACAATATAAAAAATATATGCACATTATAAAAAAAATTTAATGAAAGTTTATAAATTAACGTTGCTAATAAATTAAATTCAACACCTTAGCCAGTTGGTCGATTTAATTCTTATCTTGTTTTCAAAATTTACTGGTGATCAAACTGCTTATCTTGTTTATAAATTAAATTAAAATTTTATAAATTCTTTAACTTAATAGATATTTTAATTTATTTATTGAATTACTTAAGGCTCCTGAGGCTTCACCGCGGCCATGTTAGATTATAACATCAGGGGCGAGAAAGCACACACTGAAAATTCTTAGATGTCATCTTTAAATGAGAAGATATTTTGATGAAACATCACTTTGGATAGCTTTAGCATATTTTTGTGCAACCGGCGCGCCAAAAGTCGCCCTTTACGTACATGATTTTAGAAAGGACTCCCTTTCCACGCACCGGTTACACAAAATATCGTAGTCAACATGTGCGGGTCATAAATCGGCCAATCGTGCGGATTGTCACACTCGATTTCGCCTCGTGCGCCAAACTTCCGCACTCTCGGCCGATTTACGATTCCTCGCACTTATTGTTAGCTAATATACTATTAAAATACCTCGAAAACTATTGGGGCTTGGAGCCTCAGTCATTTTACAGCTTAATTATAAAGAGAAAAAGATAGTTTTCGAGGTATGGCGCTAAAGCCATCTGAAATGCTTTTTCATCAAAATATCTTTTTACATAATAATATACACCTCCATCTCGACCAATAGAGCCAAACGCGATGTTATTGTGAAAATTAAGAAACTTAGGAATTCGTATTCTATGGTTGAGATCTCAAAATCCCTTCTGTAAAGAAATAGATGAGAAAAATATTGGTCCGAAAGTCGGCTGAATCGAGAATCGAACCGAAGACCTTTTGTTTGCCGGGCGATTGCTCTTCCAACTGAGCTATTCAGATACTTATGAAACAATACCTTTTTCAATGCTTTCATCCCAAAGCGTCGTAATTAGGCCCAGACGCAAAGAAACAATATTAAAAATATTAAGGGTTGACAGTGTAGTAACTTTTTTACAAATGATACTTTTTTTAAAGAGCTTTTATTAATTAATGTAAGTACGATAAAATGTGTTATCAATTAAAATAAATGAAGTCTTCTAATAATAAACAAATGGTCTGTAACATAGCAACGAAATGGTGTAAAAACGTATAAGGTGTAAGTGTATATGTGGTGTAAGTGTGGATCTAAAAATGCTACAGTAATGTCACAGTAACGCCACAGTACTCCCCCCCAAGCGACGACTACGTTGCGAAATGGACTTTCTTCTTAGCTGGGTAAGTTCGTAATGATTTCCCGAAAGAAGCAGTAGAAGAAGTACTAGGGTAATCTGGTGAAATAGTAGATGCAGGTATGACTGATGTGATTGTAGGAACTGCAGGCACAACTGATGGTACAACTGATGTGGTTGTAGATGTAGATGAAGTTCTCGAAGAGGATGAAAGAAGAACAGAAGAATCTTCCTTGGGAAAAAAGGCTGGTTTCAGACGTTCCGTTGAGACGTTGACTAATTTTCCTGAAATGTCAATAGTAAACAAAAAAACAGAAATTCGTTTGTTAACAAGAAAAGGACCAGAATATGGTGATTGAAGAGATTTCTTCACAGCATCTTCACGAAGCCATACGTGAGTACAATCGTAAAGATTCTTGTGTACAAAAGGTGATTTTTTGGTGTGATGATGGGTAGGAGAAGATCTAATATTCCTCACTCGTATGTATTCTATGTTTCTCTAAAAATATTTCAGGATCTGCTGGAAAATCTTCCTCAATAAAGAATTCACCAGGAATCTGAAGAGTAGTTTCATAGAGTAATTCAGCAGGTGAAGTTTTCAAGTCTTCTTTGAAGCACGAACGAAGACCAAGAAGAACAGTAGATAAAGATTCCAACCAATTCTTCGTCTGATGACACATAATTGCAGTCTTGACAGTCCTATGCCATCTTTCCAAAATTCCGTTTGTAGCTGGATGATAAGCAGAAGTTCTCTTGCGATCACATCCAATCAAATTAGTTAATGCTTTAAAGAGAGATGCTTCAAATTGTGGGCCTTGATCTGTAGTAATAGTTATAGGAGATCCATATCTAGCTACCCAATGAGAATAGAAAGCTGTCGAAACTGTTTCAGCAGTTATTTCTTTAAGTGGAATAGCTTCAGGCCACCTCGAGAAACGATCTATTATTGTTAAGCAATAACGGAAATCTTGACAAGAAGGAAGAGGGCCTATTAAATCTAAATGTACATGTTGAAAACGCTGATCAGGAACCGCAATTTTAACAGGGACATTTTTTGTATGTCTTGAAATTTTGGAACGTTGGCAAGGTAGACAAGTGCGAGTCCACTCTTTAACGTCTTTATTCAATGACGGCCAAATAAATTTCTGTAGAAGTTGTTTAGCTGTAGATCTTCCACTGGGATGTGCGAGGCCATGTACTACATCAAAAACTCTCTTACGAAGAGGTTTAGGAACGTATGGACGAATTAACTCAGAGGAACAGTCACAATATATAGGTACAGATGAGCCAGTAAGCATAAGTTTCCTTAGTTGGAGTGAAGAGTTCATAGAAAGGAGATCTTGAAGTTCTTCATCATCCTTTTGAAATTCTGCTAATTCTTCCAGAGAGACAATGATTGGCATTGAAACTGACTCAATTCTTGATAAAGCATCAGCTACAGAATTTAACTTGCCTGAAATGTGGACAATATTAGTAGAGAATTGAGCAATAAGATCCAGTTGCCTAATTTGTCTAGGTGAAGCTTTGTCAGGTTTCTGAAGAAAAGCATAAATTAAAGGTTTGTGATCTGTCCTAATAATGAGTTGTCGTCCCTCAAGCAAATATCTGAAATATTTAATTGCTAAATAAATGCTTAAAAGTTCTCTATCATAAGTACTGTAGTTCTTTTGAGTTTTATCAAGCTTTTTAGAAAAGAATGCAATTGGTTTATTGACATTTTCAATTGTCTGTTCAAGTAATGCTCCTACAGCAAAATCAGAAGCATCACAAGTAAGAATCAAAAGAACTTGAGGAGCAGGATGAGAGAAGGTAGTCACACGGAGAAGTTCTTCTTTGCAATTCTGAAAAGCTGCTTCTGTCTCCATAGACCAAGGAATAGTTCTCCTATCTCTCTTGCGACTGTCCTTCAAAAAGTTTGTAAGTAATGCTTGATGTTCAGCTGCGTTTTTAAGGCAACGACGATAATAATTAATAATGCCAATTCTTAAATCATGTATTGTCTTAGGTTTGGGATAGTCAATAATTGATTTGACTTTTTGTTCTGTAGGTTTGATTCCTTTACTAGAGACAAGATATCCGAGGAAAGTAATTTCTTTTTGACCAAAAAGACATTTGGATACATTAAGTGACATTCCAGCTTTCTGTAGACGATCAAAAACAATCCACAAATGAGTGATGTGTTCTGACTCATCTCTAGAAGCTATGAGAATATCGTCAAGATAGCAAAATGCAAAATCTAAATCATTTAACAATATATTCATAAACCTCTGAAATGTTTGAGCTGCGTTACGAAGACCAAAAGGCATAACCAAAAATTCGAAAAGTCCAAAAGGTGTAGTTACAGCGGTCTTAGGAATATCTTCCTTTGCAACGGGTACTTGATAGTACGCTTTAACAAGATCAATTTTAGAAAAGATATTCTTACCGTAGAGCTCCGCAGTGAAATCCTGTATGTGAGGCAATGGATATCGATCAGGAACAGTGACCGAATTTAACGCACGATAATCTCTACAAAGTCTCCATACATTTTCCTTTTTTGGAACCATATGCAAAGGTGCTGCCCACGTACTGCATGATGGTCTACAAATACCTTGGTCCATCATGAATTTAAATTTTTCTTTGGCATACTTCAGTTTCTCCGGAGAAAGTCTTCTGGGAATTGCAAATTTCGGAGGACCTTCCGTAACAATCCGATGTTCAATTCCAAGTGAGTTTACCGATGAAAGAGGGGCAAAATGAGTAAGTCCTTGAAATTCTGCTAAAATCTTGTGAAAAGAAGAATCTGGAGATGTGGTACAAACTGATAACTGCAAAACTTCTTGTATCCTTCCACAATTTTTAAGACTTGTTAAGGAATCAATTAGACGTTTGTTTTTTACATCTACAAGGAGATTAAAATGTCCGAGGAAATCTGCGCCTAAAATGGGACGTTGTATGTCCGCCACGCAAAATTTCCAACGGAAAATTCTCCTGAGACCAAGATCCACGGAAAGAGTTTTAGATCCATAAGTATCAATGTGTGTTCCGTTGGCAGCAAAAAGTTTTAAATTGGTTGATAACGGTTTGTATAATATTTTCTTGGGAAGCAAAGAAATGTCAGCACTAGTGTCAACAAGAAATTGTAAATTAGACGACTTGTCAAAAATAACGAGGCGATGACAAGGTAAACCGTTGTGAGTTGCCTCTATCTTCAACGGTATCTCTAGTTTTCCGTTGAATCAGTAAGACAGAGAGTTTTTGACATTGTACAAGGAATTGTACATTTCTTTGCTTTATCTCCAAATTTCTTGTGATAAAAACAAATTTGTTCCTTAGAATCCGACTTTTTATCTCTTGAATTAGATCTTAATCTTGTTTTACTTCGAGATCGACTAAAAGATCTACCGCGACGACGAAAAACTTCCAGCGTAGCAATTCTTTTCTCTAAATCAGCAAGATCCGATTGTTTTGATTTCAAAGAAGTGTTTACTTCGGTTATTTGATATCCGGTATCACGTTCGACTATTTTATCCGCGAGTTCAGCTAGCTTGATTAAAGGTACGTCCTCAACAACAGCTAATGTTGCTTGAACTTTGTATGGCAAACGTTGAAGCCAAAGTGAATGTAATATATTATCCGCTAAAGATCCACCGGATAATTGGCGTATCTCACGTAAAAACTCCGTTGGTTTTTTGTCATTCAATTCAATTCCGGCTAATAATTGACGTAACCGTTTTTCTTCTGAATCCGTGAAGCGGTTAATGAGCGCCGATTTTAAAGCGTTATATTTATCGTTTTCGGGCGGATTTTCAATAATTTCCGAAACGATAATTAATGCCTTTTCATCAAGATGACGGATAACGGTATTATATTTTATTTCCTCGGAACGTATACGAAATACCAAAAATTCGCTTTCGACTTGAGCAAACCACAATTTAGGTTGCTTATGCCAGAATGTAGGAAGTTTCACAAGACGAAATTCATTAGAATGGATCTGAATGGACTCACCAGACTGCTGTTGCATATTTCCAGAGGGTGAATTTAAAATTTCCGATCCCACCTGATTTAAAATGTTCTCTGTCGAAGATGTCAAAGCAGTTGAAGTAGACGGAACAGTAGAGTAAGTTGTCTCAGATCTAGGAGGAGATCTATCTAAAGGCATCTCGGTTGTTATTCCAACGACAATAAGAAACGATCCGGAAATCAAAGTCCGAAGATTCTT